AAATTGGGATTAAGTGACTTTAGAGTCGTTTGAAAAAAACTATAAATCTGTACCCAATTTGTTGGCCCCATTTACGTTCAATCAGCCAGTTGGCAGCAGAAGCAAAGGCAGCAGCGCTCATTACTTTACGGGGAATATTTTCTGCTCCATCAATCTGCTGCTCATTTGGGAAGCAGCCCCGATTTCGCACATGCCTTTATCACACGACCCCGTCACCGTCCGCCGACCAATTGCTTCTCACATCTGCATGTTCTTGTCATTGCCAAACAAAAAGGAGGAAAACTGGCATCGGGCGAGGATATTTCCCACATGGCACATGCAAAAGCCAAAAACGAAAGCGGGAAAAGCGTGAAAAGCGGAAAAACAGAGAGGACACCCAAGAAGCAACCGAAATCCACAAGCCAAACAGAACTCCACATCAGCACGTAAACAAATTTGCAACCTGTCCGTGGTTTAATGTATGGCTGCTCTTCTGGTTCTTTAAAATGCATTAAGCCCTTGTGAACTTGTGAACGGATATAGTGTTTGGCACACTTTGGCCATGCTTAAATACTTCACCCAGCCCAATGGAAATTAAGCGATCCAGACAGAGGCCCCGTGTTAAAGTGTCCCACTTAATCCAATTTCTGTATCCCAAAACTGTATCGATAGTCGCGTAATAGAAGCGCAAAGCTGCATGAAAGCTGTGGGTTGGATGGGTTGGATGGGTGGGATGGTTTGGATGGGTGCTCCCAGTGCGTGAGTGCCCTGAATGGACCGCAGAGTCTGCCCACAAGTGGATAAGGCCTTAGGGCTGGCCATCCCCCCATCCCCCATTCACTCATTTTTCATTCACCGATGCCAACTCAACTCGACTCGAATTGCATTTTATTGAGTACAGGTCGCCTTTCATTTAGGCCTAGTTCATTTCAGTTTAGTTCCTGTACACTAACAAAAATATAGTGTGTTAGTTCATCACTGAAATTCAGACCAAGAAATTTGAAATCAAGCAAAAATTGACTATTTACAGGGGATAGCAAAATGAGAACTCTTCCAGAAAGTTTTTGAGAATTAAAAAATAATATTTCCGAATAACGATTTATAAATGTTGTTTTAATGGAGAATTTGCCATTCGAACTCAACGTTTTTTTTCTAGTGCACTTCTGCTAAAAGGAGAAACTGCAAGAACAGAAAATGAACGCAGGTGGTTTGTTGAAATTGGCGAACGAGTCGTATCTGCAGGTTGGCCAGTTGTCAACTGGGCGCCAGATCAGCGGCCTTTTATTGCCTCAGAGAGTGGAAAATCCATGAAGGGAGTGGGAGGAAAAGCGTAGAGCAGCAGCACCAGTTTTCTAACTCAACATTCCTTTGAGGGTCCAATAGTTGTTTACTTAGGCACGAAAACATTTCATAATTTCCAATCAATTTCATCCGTTTTAATTACGCGTAAAATATTTAAAATTTTTGCAGCTCAAAGAGCTTGCCGCGCAATCAAAGCGAAGCATTTTCATTGCCTTCATTTTGTTTGTTATGAATTTCGTAATTTTCTTGGGGGCCGTGTATTTGAACGATGAAATTTTACTTGTGTGTCTGCTGGAATTATTGTACGCCACATTAATCATGCAAATGAAATGAAACACGAAGGGGCGGGGCGTTGAGGTGTGTAGAAAAGGGCGTGGCCCACACACCCATCAATGCCAATTAATGCCAGAAATTTCCCAAGATGCATGTGCCTGTGAATATACTTTATTAGTATCTTTTTCCTTATGTGCGGCAAACTTGATCAGCATCAAAGGCGATTGGGCCTCCTGTATTTTTAGCTGGCCAAGTGCCTAATGATGGCTATAAATAAAGCTCTCTGGGTGTTTCTAGATTCGAGGATGCGTGTATCTTGCAGATATGCCAGAACTCTTGCATATTTAATGAGCCTGACACGGCGCACAGTTGAGGAAAACAAAGCAGCTGCCACGCTGCTGCCGTCGACGTTCGGATACTCTTTAACTGCTTGACACACTAAAGGTATTGCCCAAAGCAGGAAAGGAAAAGCCTTTAAGTTGCTTATTGGATTTTTCCCAAAAAAAAAGTTCAGTTGCCAAACTTTGGCACAGTAGCTTCTTACATTCCCAGATGCAAGCACACAAATGCTAATGACAAGTTTGCCAAAAAGGACATGTCCGTGTGTGCATATGTATCCAGTTTTATGTATATGGGGTTCGTTCAGTCAAGGTCGCTTCGCTTCCTTTGCGAGCGACTGCATAACGAGTTCAAAAAACTTTTACCCATTCCACCCAACTGAAGCCAACTGAACTCAAGCCAGGGACAAACTATCCTAAGCTGCTCATTCACACTCACGCGAACACAAACACAATTCCTGGGCTGCTTTTGGGCGCTATTTCCTTAATCAGGAGCTTTTGTAACAAGCTTATCGCCCGGCGGCCAGGACAGGCCAGAAGTTTCCATCGACCACGAGATATTCAATTATGTCGCGTAGATTCCAGCAGAAAATCTGTTTACCAGTGGTAGTATAATTCTTTGCACACACCAGCCACAAACGAGAAGAAAGCTGTTTTATTCAAACAGATGTTGTTATTGTTTTTTTTTTTTAATGTAAGTCATTTAATGGTGAGAAATCAATTCTTTAAGTTATTCGGACTTGTTAAACATTGCTGTGTATTTGTAGACAAACTAACCGCCACACCATCATCAAATTATATTTAACCAATTTGTATATATTTATAAATCTTGTTATTTTACTGGACCGTCGAAAGTATTACATACTTATTACAGTAGTTTTTATAAGTTCTTCGTGTTTTTCTTTTTTGCTAAGCCACCCTTTAACTCAAATCGTGTTCAAATATGGCTGTTCAACCAACTAAAAATCGCTTAAAACTTTTTACCCGCCTATTTGTGGATGAAATAGAAACCGAAAACCGGAAAATATATCTCCATTTCCCGCTGCCCAACTAAAAGCTTTACATTTGCGGACAGAAATCAAGGTAGCATTCGGGGCATTAGCAATCTGGCAGTCAGCCGCACTTCAGCCGCCCGTGGAGCGAAAAAACGCAAAACAATTTTTGCTGAATGAAAATGTTTGCTTCAAAGTTTTTCCTTCCTTTCCCCATTTTCAGGACTCCGTCCAGTCCAGTTCGGTTTATGAGCGGGTTATTTTGATTAATGTTCTTTCAACTGCTATCAGGCATGGTCGAGGGATAAAAAGAACTCGAAAGCAAAACCCAGTAAAGTTGGCCAGCGCTTAGCGGATATAGAAGTGTCAAGTGAAAGAGCAGAGCAACAATTATTCGATGACTAAGGAGTGGGTGGTGGGTGGAAATCTATTGATTGAGAAAAACAAGCGAAAGGACTCGCAGTTCATGGTCCACGATATTCACGAACGTCTTGAAAAAAATTACTTAGGACCAACTGTTTTGGCTTGACATTTTTAATTGCTTTTAAATATTTCATCTTAAGCAGAGATAATGCGACAAGATTTGTCATTTAAATTGCTTATGACCTTCTGACAAAAGAGTGTACTTGACCTTTTTTCCCGACTGCCACCAAGTTTTCCTCGTTCGGTCCGACCCGTCATTCGAATGTCCTTTGTGCTGCATGCTTATTGACAAGTTGTAAATAATTTGGATTTGACATAATCCTGATTGCCTCGTGCAATTTGTTGCTTGGGCCTGATGGCAAAACTTTTAACCCATCGATGATGGCTGACAACAACTCCCGCCAACGTTAAATAAGAGCCGAGGCATGAGCCTTTAAATGATCCACAATGCAATTGTTGAGAAAAAAAAGGACTTAAGTCGAACAATACTATGGGAAATGGTCAAGTCGATAACTTTTAATCTAAGCCAGAAGATCCCATAGAAACATGGTCTTTGACGTAATAAAAGTTTTAAGATTGGAATAATTTTTTAAAAGTATTTATAACAAGAAGTGGATCAAATATATCTAAATACAAGAAAGGAAGCAAACTGCGGCAAACCAAAGTTTATATGCCCTTGCAGCTATTTCAAAAATATTCTTGAAAACACTTACATTTTCATTTATTTGCGTATTTGTTTAAAAACATTGAAGCTACAAAATTTTCAGCTCAATTTTGGCAGATTAATGATATAATTTTGCGATTTGAATTAAATTAAGACCGTAAGTCTGAACCATCAAATAATTACAATTTTCAGAAGATTTTTTTAAAAGATTAAATATAGCTTCCGTTAAAACAAACGGAATAATATATGAAAAGCAATTATAACTTCGCTATTTTTCAGTTGATTTAAATGTATCTTCACAGAAAAAATTCCGACGTTCCGAATTTGGAACTAAAACTCTTAAAATGAGGATTAACTGGTTTTGAGTACATATTTCTCCTAAGAACTCACATTGAAGATATTTTTACTAATATTAAGAATTGAATTTTGAATTTGCTTTTCGTAATGAAAAATAGTTTTATAAAACGCAAACTACTAATAAAACCATTAATTATATGTTTTGTTTAAAAACAAACAATTATTGAAAGGGGTAACTGACGTTTTTAAATTAAATTTCTATGTGTATTTCAAACAATAACGTTAAAAGCAAATAGGAATTATATTTTTAACTGAAATATTTTGTCATATTCTCATTCTGAAAACAAAATGCTTGTATAAAAAAACTTATGTACTCAATTTTAGTTTTAACGTTCCTGAAAATTTTTACTCAAATTGAGAATTTTTGTTTTGATTTAGAATTAGAGTACAAATATTATCAGATTTGTAAATCCTAATCTGAGAATTTTTGTACTTTACAAAATTTCAAAACCAAAAATTTATTAATTTTCACTATTGTTAAACTTATAGGCATTCAAGGGTATACCAATAGTCACTTGCTGAAGTTAGCTTGCTTTCTTGTTTTTAATATTTTAGAGTGTATATTTACTTTAAGTCTTTTAAACGTTGCTTAAAAGAAACCCAGCTACTCAACCTCCATCCGCAGTGCTGCAACCACATTAATACTGTTTTCCACTCCATTTCTCTCCTCAGAAAGAAGCCAAGAAGCCAAGAAGCCGCACACATCGCACATTCCGTCCGCTTTCAGCCGAGGCGCATGTGAACCTAACCGGAGCCCAAAGAGAGCACGTGGGCGTGATGCCATCGGCGCATCAGATCCTGTTCGTAAATGTCACCACAACGGTGGCGGCGGCGGCTCTAACCGCTGCGGCCGCCGTCAGTACCGCAAAATCCGGTAGCAGCGATGCCACACGTCCGTATACGAATACGAATACGGATGCGGATGCGGATGCGGCTGAGGGAGTGGAAGGGCAGACAGTGTCCAACATATCCGGCTCGCTGGTGGATGGCCTGACCACAGTGGCGGCGGCACTGAGCACAACTCCGGCGGAAGCGGACTCCGGCGGCGAGTGCGGCGGAGAGGTGGAGGAACTGCACACCAGCGTGTTGGGCCTGCAGCTGGCGGTGCCGGAGTGGGAGGCCCTGCTGACCGCCCTGGTGCTGTCGGTCATCATCGTGCTGACCATCATCGGGAACATCCTGGTGATCCTGAGCGTGTTCACCTACAAGCCGCTGCGCATCGTCCAGAACTTCTTCATCGTGTCGCTGGCGGTGGCCGATCTCACGGTGGCGCTGCTGGTGCTGCCCTTCAATGTGGCCTACTCGATCCTGGGCCGCTGGGAGTTCGGCATCCACCTGTGCAAACTGTGGCTCACCTGCGACGTCCTGTGCTGCACCAGCTCCATCCTGAACCTGTGCGCCATCGCCCTGGACCGCTACTGGGCCATCACGGACCCCATCAATTACGCCCAGAAGCGGACCGTCGGTCGCGTCCTGCTGCTCATCTCCGGTGTGTGGCTGCTCTCGCTGCTGATCAGCAGTCCGCCGCTGATCGGCTGGAATGACTGGCCGGACGAGTTCACCAGTGCCACGCCCTGTGAGCTGACCTCGCAGCGCGGCTACGTCATCTACTCCTCGCTGGGCTCCTTCTTCATTCCGCTGGCCATCATGACCATCGTCTACATCGAGATCTTCGTGGCCACGCGGCGGCGTCTGCGCGAGCGGGCCAAGGCCAACAAGCTCAACACGATGGCGCTCAAGTCCGCCGAGCTGGAGCCCATGGCCAACTCCTCACCTGCCGCCGCCTCCACCTCCGCCTCCGGTTCCAAGACGCGTCTCCTGGCCAGCTGGCTGTGCTGCGGCAGGGATCGCGCCCAGTTCGCCACGCCCATGATCCAGAACGACCAGGAGAGCATCAGCAGCGAGACCCACCAGCCGCAGGAGGGCTCCAAGGCGAGGACGGGATCACAGAGCCACGGCGATCCGCAGCAGCAGCAGCAGCACGTAGTCGTGCTGGTCAAGAAGTCGCGGCGCGCCAAGATCAAGGACTCGATCAAGCACGGCAAGGCCAGAGGTGGTCGAAAGTCGCAGTCCTCGTCCACCTGCGAGCCGCACGGCGAACAGCAGCTCCTGCCCTCCAGCGGTGGCTGTGGCGGTGGAGGGGAGGGGAAGGAGGAGGTGGTGGCTGCAGGACCGGCGGAGGAAAGTCCGATGCCGAGATCAGCACGGAAAGTGGCAGCGACGCCAAGGGTTGCATACAGGTTAGTGCGGCAGTACAAAACCAAAAGGATACCACCATATGGGTCTGGATTTTATAGTCCAATATATCTATATCTCCAATAAATTAGCTCTCCAATAATTTAGCTCTACGGTCTTTGAAATAAAAGAAAACAAGTGAATAAAATAGCAACTTCCAAACCTTAGAAAAACACAAGGTCCTGCGAATCTGGTTTATAGTAGATGAAATTTTGTAATCCTGACATGAAAATTCATATTTTTTAATTAAATATCAAAAAACGTACTCTAGTTGGCATTTGTGCTTTGAACTTTTACGTTTGATCCTTAAATAGCTTTAGAAAAACGAGTTCTTTATTTTTCCATTTTTACTTAAAAAATGATAAACGAACTAAAAAATAAGGAAATAGATATTTTTTATATAAACTTAAAACGATTTTGGTTATTTTGTAGCTTCATGGGAAGAAATCTTGACCAAAATGTAAAACTTAAGGGGGTATTCTTGTCTAGAAGCCTGAATTTTGAGCATTTTTTCAAGAATGAAAAAACAGAAAAGAAAAACATTTTTGATATACAATTTTTGATATTGTTTTTATTGACATTTTGAGAATACAAAAAAAAAACAAATAAATATTTGCAAAGATACAGGACTGTGGAGTTGGGTGTTCAAAAAATCGCTGCGTCCTCGCTGACATGATTTCTGTCCTTGTAAAAAAAAATTAAAAATAACAAAACGGCGCCGAATTAAAAACAAAAAATATTGTTTAACCATTTGTTCGACCCTTTCGAACATTTTTAAAATACTTACAATTAAAACTTTTCAAATCCGGGGCAGATGCGATGGACAGTGAAAAAGAAAAAAAATCGATTTTTTTAAATTTCTAAGCCTACCAGAGTAATGAAACTATGACAAAGTTAGTAAAATGCATATCCTCTTCTGGCTTCTTTTACCAAAAAGAGAATTTAATATTTTTATCCTACTGAAACATTTTTTTTAAACCCAAAGCTCATGTTATATGCATTCTATATTTAGAATTCTGTAATGGAAATTAAGTAAAGACATGGCCTAAAAAGTATGAATATAGTATATGTTTTGGTATTTTTATAATGGACTATATGCTTAGGAAACAATAGCCTAAAATTTAGATACAACATTACCTAATAAATATAAAAATAGTCCATATTTTTGTAATTTTGTAAGGGGCTGAGTTTCTAAAAAAATAATGGCATTAAAAAGTAGTCCACGCATTACCTAAAAAGTAGCAAAATTGTCCATGTTCTTACCTAAAAATTAAATTTTATACCATTAGGATTTTTTAGATCCTGCCCAGTCCACCATTTTTCTGCGTGTATCGACACATTTAGAACAAACCCTTAGCCAGAAAGCACTTTATGGCCAATTCTAATCCGCCCCTCACCTTCTTCTTCTTCTTCTATTACCTGGCCCAGGTCTGTGTGACCCAGACAGACGAGCAGACGTCCCTCAAATTGACCCCGCCGCAATCCTCGACTGGGGCAGCCACCGTTTCCGCCACGCCGCTGCAGAAGAAGCCGAGCGGAGTGAACCAGTTCATCGAGGAGAAGCAGAAGATATCGCTGTCGAAGGAACGCCGAGCGGCCCGCACCCTGGGCATCATCATGGGCGTGTTCGTCATCTGCTGGCTGCCCTTCTTCCTCATGTACGTCATCCTGCCCTTCTGCCAGAGCTGCTGCCCCACGAACAAGTTCAAGAACTTCATCACCTGGCTGGGCTACATCAATTCCGGTCTCAACCCGGTCATCTACACCATCTTCAACCTGGACTACCGGAGGGCTTTCAAGCGGTTGCTGGGCCTGAACTGAGCGCCCGGAGAGTGTTGCTCAGAGTTTGTGCCAAACGTAAATAGAGGTTTATCCGACCAGCAAAGATCAAGATCTCAGTCGTAAGTTGAGCCCCAACTTGAAAACTTTCGACGTGGAACCAAATAATCAAATTTCTCAAACTGCTCGTTTCCTCATAAATCGCAATTTTGAGCCCTAAGCTTTTATCCCAAAAAAGTACGACGGCTTTAATTTTGACTGTACACAAATTTGTTTCTTAAATTTAAATTTAGGTTAGGCTTTTTTTTCTTATGTTTCCATAGTTTAATTTAATGTTGTGTTTGGATCCAATCTAGTCAAAAAATGGTGAAAACATAATGCGATTTCAAACAACAGAGTGTTTTCAGAATTTTTTAAAGTGTTGAAATTGATCCGATGATATTGATCAACATTACAAGAATAATATAATAATAATATGGCCTTTTAATTTGGAAGTCTTTAAGGAATTAAAAAAAGTGTTTTTTTTTAAATTAAAAGCCTATTTGGCAGATCTTTTCTGTAGGCCTACTAAATTTCATATGAAATTTGTATGATCAAATTTTGCCAATTGAAACTGCTTGTTTTACAACATTTTATGCCATTAAAATATTTTTAAGTTTATGTGTAGAAGTTCCTCTGTTTTCAGTTCGGCTTGTTTCTTTTGTTGGGGAAAACTAGTGCCCACTTAAATAATTAAAAACTGTTCAATACTCATATTATAAGGGGTTGTGCTGGGATAAAAATGAGGAGATTTGCATCCAGCCGTACACGTCTACTAAGAAAAACATCAAAATTACAAAGTAACAAATTGCATAACCATACATAAACATTATACAGGATAAGTGACATCCCATACGAGAATCATAATCATCATAATGAATTTAATATAATTAAATTAAATGTTTAGACACAAGATTTGTGGCAACTTTCGTGTTTCACCCTATGCGTATGGAAAAACCAAATCGGTGTTAGTTAAATTCAATCTGCGCTCAAAATATGTATAACAACTAAGCTAAACACAAACTTCCAAGAAATAAAATTTGTTTTCTAGGCATTACTTTAACGATTTGTATTTAAATGTAATTTAATTGTAGGTAAGCAAAAAAACAAACTACTATACTTAATTGTATATTTTCAAAATACGCTTTCAACTATTTGTTAAATAATTTATTGATTAATTGTTTTTATGACAGAGCAACAATTGTGTTGAGTGTGCAGCTAAAAGCTTGCGCATCGAAACTTACTTAAGATAGATAAATGTTTAATTGCACTTTACGAAATGCAACATTGTTAGCGAATTGGAGTACATGCTATATCGTATATATCACAATTTATGTCTTTTAACGACGATGTACGATAGTTTCACTAATTAACTTGTTTAACGAGCAAATAACGAGCAAGCTAAGCATATACGAAACAAACAAAAGACAGATTCGAATTAAAGTTATGAATAAAAATAATATTGAATTTGTGTTTGGATTTGAATATTAAAGCGAATGTCATTTAAAAGGCCATTGGATAACAGCTCATGTTAAAAAAAGACAACTCTGTTAAGATTTTAAGTAAGTATCATTCCGGTATATGCGATATGCTCACGACTATCGGCTATCGACTGCTCGTGATTGCCATTCACAGGGAACGATGCCAGCTCAGGTAGCGCAGCTGTCTCTGTCTCTGTCTCCCATCCCTAGCGAACTGACGGCTTGTAAACTAAATTGTTGAGATTTGAAATTGTTTGGACGGGCGGCAAAAGGACGGAATTTGATCCCAAATATTGGTTACCTGAGGGGACGCAGATTTCCGCGAAAATCTCGCCGCGGTTGCAGGCAAAAAAAAACAGATTCCTGTAATGCATATAAGCAGCTGCCGCGCTATAGAGATCAGTCAAACCATGGAGACCTCGGAAGCGATGAAAACGTGTGCGGAGGGCGAGCATCTCAATGGATCCTTACGCCTGCAGTGCTCGGTGTCCTCCGTGGACATGGAGAGCGAGAGCGACCTGTCGCTGGCCTTCGAGCGCGAGGAACAGTCGCCGGATGGCAGCTGCGACGAGCTGCCGGCATTCGAAATCCGCTCCTTCTCGCCGCACGGACGAACCCCATCGCCCATCGACGAGCTCAACCTGTCCGACATCGAGACGCCCAAGCAACCGTTGCGGCACCAGCTTCTGGCCGACGATGAGGAGCCGTCCCGCCACAACGACCCCCAGTTCGTGGCGCTGTGCGAGATCAACGCCCAGATCAGTCCGCCCAGCGACGGTGACGAATCCCCGAGCCTGGAGACGATCTTCGAGGGCGTCTTCTTGAACACACCACCGCGCGAGAAGGTCACAAGCTCCGGCAGCTCACGCTTTACGCCCAAGCGCATCCGGGCGAATCTCATGGAGCTAATGGCCATCGGCAACCGTCTGCACGACGGCAAGGAGAACCAGTCGCCAGCGCCGTCGCCGCTCAAGGACCCCACATAGTGACCACCGCCCAAAACCGATTCCAACCAAAGCCATGGAGCCCGCGCTCAGACTGCCATCGATGTTCTAGACTAAGTTAGATTAACCTGAAAGTGTGGTTCCATCCCCAGCAGCCAGCAGGTGTACACTCTGGTGTGTATCCTCAGCTGATCCTTGAATTCTCCCCAGCTACGTGCCCTGCATTTTGCGATGTCGGGCCACAAGTTTGTGTAGTGGTAAATAAAGATTGTCTTTCCTTGTTCCAAACAATAGCCCAAGTTTCGGTTGCATTTTGCTGGCAGATGGTGCAGGTAGCCTGGCGGATGGGTCGTCTAATCCGCGATACCTGGATCGAGAACGCTTATAAAATTTCCACTGAGAAGTCAAAAAAATCTTTAAAAAAACCTGAAGGTCTTTCGTCTTAAGACCAAACTAAGGGGTTTTCGCTAGATCAACACATGGTTCTTAATAACCTAACCACATTGCTTAAATATTTACCCAAAAATCCTAATATTGCTAGGTATACTTAAAGGATGATTAGTGTGTTAAGGCGGGATATAATAAGTTTAGGAAAAATATTAATTTTCATAAAACTGATTTATTTTCTAAAACCGATTTCTATACTTTCCAGTACGTTTATATTTTTAAGCCACAATGTGGTTTATTCCGCAATAGAAAAATATATATTGCTTTGCTGCTGCGAATGTGTAAATATAAAATTGTAATATAGTTTTCCCAATTTTAAAGGCACGACAATTTCGCAGATAGTCTAATAGAGGTGAACATTTTGAAAGATTTGCATTCCAAACGGAATTTTAATGATAATTTTTGGACAATGTTTACCTTAAAACTAGGGTTCTTACACTAATTGTACCATGTCTTTGGGGTACTTGTACAAAATATTAGTAAAATATGTACATAAGTATTTTGTGTGAATTGATATCTTGGTGGAAGATACTGGAAAGCCACTTGCAGCGGTGGTTTGCGAGTTCGCGTCTTACACGAACTGCAATTTGGAAGCATAGCTAAACGCTTAAAACGAAAATGGGGACGAGCATTTCAAGTACTATAGAGTAATAAACTCGGGAATGTTTTCATTGGTTATTCGAACACATTCAAATTAATACACAGCGGGCAAGATTTGGAGGGAAAGGATTAACTAAGAACTTTGAATTTTGTAAGCACTGATACAAAATTAAAGTAACGAATGAGGTAGTCATCGCGCTTCTCTCTTCGTTGCCTTCGATCCTATATGGTCCTATATATGGTCCTATATGGCAATTTCAAGCCCACTCTGTATCGCCTCCGATCAGAAGTTCTTCGAGTGACGCGACGCCGAGAAAACCTTGACGCGCAACAGTCCCGGATTGACCTCCTGCCACCTGAAATGGTACCACACTGATTAGATGGATTTTATCGACAAAAATACGCTCGTTCACCCACCGCAAACGACGCTCGCCCAATCTGGACTTCACCCGGTTCTTGATAGTGGACACTCCGTTGGCACTGTGCAGTCCTCGGCCAGTGATGATGAAGACATGCTTGTAGACCCGCGTGGAGTTGCGCAGCACGGTGATGTGGCGGTCGAGGAAGAGATCCAGACAGCTAATCGCCTCTACGGTGTGCAGATAATGCAGATCCAACAGATCGGGATTGTTCTGCGTGTGGCGATGCACCTCCATGATGCAGTTGGCCGCCCGCTGGTTAAACACGTCGATCTTTTGCTTGTGCAGCTTGGCTATCTCCGAGTAGTAGAGCGCCACGCTGCCATTGCCGCGCTGTACCGCCTGCTTGGCCTTCAAATAGCACTCGGCCTTCAGCTGGGAGTGATGGGCGGCCATGTTACGCGTCTCCTCGAAGTCACGCAGGGCAGCACACTTGGCCTCCTCGTGCAGCAGCGGCGATCTGCCCGTGGTGGATGAACTGGAACTGCTACGCTGACCCTGTCCTTGACCGGCGGAATTTTGCTGCACTTGTTTTTGTTTTTGCTCCTCCAGCGCCACCTGCTCACTAAGCTTAACGCCCTCGCGAAGAGCCTGCTCATACAGCTCCGCTCCACTGAGCGCGCTCTGCACATTGCTGTCCAAGACCTCCACCGTTTGGCCATAATTGCTGCCGGTGGCCGCAAAGATTTCGAGCACCGTGTCGCTGGGGATGTCGGGGAACGTCTCGCAGAGCTTCATCTTGGTCAGATGGGTGGCAATATCGTTGGGCGGCTGCTTGCGGGCGATCAACTCGGCTGCCTGCTTGGCGGCCAGCTGCTCGCTGTTGTAGATGCTCCAGGCCAGCTCCATGTCCAGCAGTTCGCCCACGTTGCTCGGGGATTCGCTGCACTCAGCGTACTCCGGATGCTTGAGCAAGCGGGCGAACTGTTCGTCATCACGCAGTGTCTGCTGGCGCTGCTCCTCCTGCTGGTTGTACACTGCCTCCATCCAGAGCATGTATAGCTGCTTGGCCAGTTGGCGCGGAACGAATATTTTTGTGGCGGCGGGCAGTTCCTGTTCCGGCGGCAACAACTCGTCGTCCGTTTGGAACTGAGCGCGCAGCTGCTCGACAAGCATGGCACCCAGATCCATTTCCAGCAGAGTATTGTCTTCAGGGTCCTGCTCCTCCGGCTCATCCTGGTCCGGTTCTTCGAGCGCCTCTGGCAATTTGGGTCCAACCGGTTGATCCAGAATCCCATTACGGATGTCGCGGATTTTGCGTGTGTGCTCCGAGTATTGTTCGTCGCCTGAAATATATCAGAAATTCTAGCATTTGCTTGAAATCTTAAAATACATCTTATATTAACTAAAATCTTTAATAAACTATTATTTTTTTAAAGGAAACGCATTAAAACTGGCTTTAAATGTAAATTTGGGGCAGTCTAAATGAGTAAAATAAATCTTATATTAACTAAAGTGTTTAATATACTATTATTTTTGGTAAAGGAAGGGCATTAAAACAGGCTTTAAATGTAAATTTGCGGCAGTCTAAATGAGTAAAAAGCTATCAAAAAGGATCGTCTGTTTATATCGGATTTACTTAGTTACTTTAAAAGGTATAGACCTCTTTTCTATGGCATTTATGTATATCATATTGTTGTGCGAACCCGACTAATGCGATTGACTATGAGCTAAAGAAGGAAGACGATGGCAAATTATGAACATGGTCAAGAACATATACACTGTAATGGCTGTGTTTAAAATTCAAATGTTCTTCTGGAGCTTATGTACTTAGTTAGTTAATAATGTTTAATAACAACAAGTGAATAATTCACCCAACACAAAGCAATTCTGGATTTGCAGCTGCAACTCCTTGTTGGTGGGCGCCGAAGTGCGTTTGTTGCGAGGCTGGCGCTGCGGTTTGGCTGCGTTTAAAGGCTTAGAAGCCGGCGGAGTGGGTGACGAGGTGAGGGGAGGGGGAGTGCACACTGGAGACTCCTGGCTCGGCACCGACTTGTCACAGTCGCATTGGAACTCCAGCGCCTCCTCGCTGCTCACGGTATCCTCTGTTCCGAACTGATCCGATCCCGTGGCGGCCTTCAGCTCGTCCTCCTTGAGCAGAATATCGACGGCCCAGTCCACGTCGGCCTGGCACTTGACGAACAGATCCCAGAGGCCCGTCAGCTCCTTGTTGGGATACATCTGGCGCAGAAGAGCAAAGCCTCTGGGCTCATTGCGGCAGTCTAAGCAGTGCTTCTGAAAACGCTTTGCCTCACTGGAATCCGCTTTTGGTGGCGCCTCCTCCGTTTTTTTCTCTCCCCGAAGAAGCTCAACAAGCGATAACTCGCACGTTGATGTAGCCTGAGCAGCCAATGCTTCTGGAACCACCGAGTCTCCTGAATCAGTGGAGTCCGCTGTCTGGGACCAGTAGGATGTCGCTCCTTGTTCGTAGGGCACCCAGCTCTGGGCATTGGCATTCAGCTTATGGGTATGTTGCTCTGCCGCTGGCACCGTGGCTTCCAAGGACTTGTTCTCCTCAAATTTGGTGACGACAGGCACGGCGGGAAGAGGCGGATGCTGACGCAGTTGTGGCAGGTCCACAGTGTACTTTGTCTCCTTCAATAACTGCAAAACAAAAAAGAATCAATAATTAAATTTATTATTATTAAATTTATCCAAAGTGATCGGCTTTCAAATATCGCTTAAAATTTCAGCTTACCCATTTCTCATCGTTAAAAAGTTTATGTAGCGCAAAACCAATGATAATTTCAAACACAATTTTTACAAAACTAATGGAAAGTTAATTGATAAAAAGAGTGGTTTTTAGTTAAGGCATCTTCTGAGTTTACAAATCAAGCGAATTTAAATCACTTAACATAAAAATTATAAAAATTAATAAATATTTTTTTGTATTGGTTTTAGTGTGGACCGCAATATAAAAAACTGTGTAACACAATTACAAGGCTAAAAAATCTGATTCGATTTTTTCCAAGTTTTACTCTATATATTTTCAAACAATCACTACAACAATATAGGATTTTTACTTGCTTATTATTTGTTTAATCAGTGGCCTATATATTTTCACTATGAAGCCAAGGCTTTTTTGTCAATATACTCGGCACCTATTTTATTTTTTATTATAAAACGAATAAGTTGTTTAAAGCTAGCTAATCGTATTTTAAACAATTTAACAAAGCTAATCGTATTTTAAACAATTTAACAATAATACCATTTTGGAATTACCCTAAATCTTTTTCCCAGCGTTTGGAAAACTTATGGACTGTGTATTTCCTTGTTTATGCACTTAAATAAAATGGATAAATAAGTATGACCTTACCCGGATGAGGTCCGCCGCAGTGGTGCGCTCGTAGCGCTCCAGCATGCGCTGTATGCTCTCCCGTGGGACCTGGTGGGTGTTCTTCTGCGCCAGCTTGCTGGCTGACCTGCTCCAGCTGGTCTGCGGCTCAAGCAGCTCGAGGACATAGCCGTGGCGTACGGCGGCCTGGACGTAGGGCTGCATTTCCCACACCATCGTGTTGGTGTTGTCCACGACAATGGGGCTCCAGCCGCTGGCGGCTTTCTCGCGCACACGTCGCTGGTTCCACTCGTGGGCGGCTGGCAGCAGGGTGGGATTGAACTCGTAACCATGGCGCGTCCAGAAATAGTCATCGGTGCTGAGGACGAAGTCGCGCACTTTGTGCCGCTCGAGCAGGTGGGCCTGACGCAGCACAGATTCGGCCAGCGTGCTTTTTCCACATCCCGGAGGACCGCGCATGATGATCATCAGCTTGTGACCCGCCTGCACCCGCTGGCAGATCGAGTTGAGCTGCTTTTGGCCCTGGTTGTTGTTCACATTGCTGGCGGGGCACATTCGGATGGAGCTCGGAGCACCGGCGGTGTTGTATTTCCTGGGCGTACCGCCGCTTCGGCTGCGGCCGCCACTGTTGTTGTTGTTGCTGCCCACCAAGAGCGCCAGATCCGCTGGGTCAGCGGAATTCCGCGCCGTCGACATGGCGTTGCTTTGCTTCCGTTTGCTGCTCTGTGGAAGAAGATCGTTGAGATCGTTGGTGGTTCGTGCAACGTATTGCGCAGTAACCTCTTATCGCATCCAGGTCTTGAACTTACCAAAAACACACCAGGCGGAGATCACCTCGATCCCGAAACTAAGACAGCGCACGATTTCCTCTCGCTCCTTCACTGGATCCACATGCAAGTTGACTCCTGCGGACTACTAAACTACGTTTGTTTATTTCCAGGGCACGGGGAGCTCGGCGTCTCGTTACATCCGCGTATTTGCTGCATTGCCAAATGGGAAAAACCACGTCTGAGCGGAGGCTATCGATGGCGCTATCGATGGCACTATCGGCCACACGTTATCGATACCCGCCAGTGCTGACTACATTATTACAATTATTTATTGAAAAAGGTTTGTTTTTTCCTCGACTGCTTTTATACGTATTCAATATACTACCAAACAAATTATTTGGTACAAATATTTTGTAAATGTTATTTATTCTGGTTTCAAAGTGTTACGGCATTTGAAAATCCCTAAAAGATATATTTTTACCAGCCGCAGGTAATGTGGAAAAATGATCTAAAAGCCTTTTTCCTTGCCCGGTAAAAAAACAAAAGATTTAAAAAAGTTTTTTTACTACAATTTTTTGAGAGAACAATGATTTTTCAGTTCTTTTGGGCTAATTGATCTATCCTTTGACCCTTTGAAATTTAATAGGATCAAGTTTTGCGGCTTTTACCCCAGACAGATATAACAGAGATGATATAACAGCTGTTATATCATCGAAACTTTCAAAAAAAAAGTATTTTAGAACAGAAAAACCAAATTCAGGCTTTAAAAATTGCAAAACAAACTAAGCAAAAAATCAAATTGGAGCAAAAAAAAAAGGGAATAGAATAAAATAAATGCGAAAAATAAAATAAAATTTGTTGATTTGTTAAAAAAGACCACAAAATGAGCAGCTTTTAGAACCGTTACATCAAAACCTTGGAAACCATTTTGAATCATAGATAATTGAATAAATTTATAATAAAAACTTTACGTGTTTTTGAGTTTTATTTGCACTACTTCCCTTTTTTCATTTTTTTGACGCACTGTGAACTAGGGCAAACCAACTAGCAAACTAACTAGTTCGTTTAGGGAATACCGAAATTAAAAAATATAATAAATGGTCTACAAACATAATGAAAATTTCAAGTTTATAGTTTGAATTTGTATTGAAAATAAAAATCTTTAATGTAATGTCTATGTAGTCTAGGGTACAGAAAACTAACGTGGTTGAGTTACAATACCACTGCCTCAATGTTCTGCTGTCCTGGAGTTTTACATCACACAATGTTTATTTGACAATGATATATTTCAAACGCTTTACAGCTTTAATTATACATAATTTTAAAATAGATTTAAACGATACTGTACTTTTGTTTTAATAATGCAACCCATTTTAGTTTGACAATAAAGGCCGTTTGGAATCATGGCTGCATGTTATAAGATGCATTTTAAAAACATTATTCGCCCTAAAAAAAATATTGGTGATTTCCTTAAGGTCCACAGAGCTTGACATTGACCTTTTTCTATTTCTTCGGCGTTACTATTTTGTCCAAAGCTGCGTTAGACATATTCCTTATCGGGGAAACCAGATATGAACCAGTTTTGGATGAAGTCCACTTCCAACCAGTTTTTACTCCATCGACCATAACTCTGTTAGAAGTCGTTAGGGCTGGACTTACGGTCTTCGTATAAAAGCCTGTGGACCATTTCCAGCCCGTTAGCACTCCTGTGGAAGTTTTCTCAATTATATTTTTGGCAGCTGAATAATATCCGGACTCTGGGGCTATCGGTTTGGCAATCAGTTTTGGTTTTTGTGGAATTTAGTATTCTTTTAGCAGTAATATTATGCCGCATGTGGAAACAAACAATGGGATCAAGATTTTGATATATACACCAGGATTGAACATTTTTCTGAATGAACTTGGTGAACTCTGGGTGGTCTCACAAGCTGGCGCTGCTTCTTGTGTCTTGGATGAGATGGGGTAAGATGTCGTTTGTTGTTTATTTCCTTCGGTAGCTACCTTCCTGCTAAAAGACATCACAGAAGGAAAGTTTACTGGCCACACACTTCTAGCCTTTGACGTTGCTGTTTCTATAACTTTGATGGTACTTTTCGCGACTGAATATAGAACCGTTTTTGAAACATGCTCCATACCAGTAACCGCTGCCTTTGTTGTCTTGTCCAAATTAGCTCTATTAATATACTTTTGGGAAATACCCAAATATGAAGTTGTTTTGGATTCAGTCCATTTCCAACTGTTGGTAACACATTTAACTGTAGCTTTTTTGAAAGCTGTTAAGGTCGGACGAACGGTGGAGGCAGAGCCCTTTCCTAGAGATTCTATAATCTTTTTCCAGTACTTCAGCAGTCCTGTGACAGTTTTCTTAGTTACATCATCGGCAGCAGAATAGGATCCTTTTTGGGTTCCCTGGGTTAGTGTTTTGGCGACAACTTCAGCAGCATGATTCAATTCAATGTTGGGTTTTGGTGTTATTGACTTTGCCACAACGTTGGCAGCCGAAGTCAAAGACGAACTTGGAGTCGTTGGTAGAACTGCAACTCGGGGTCCTTGGGTGACTGTTTTGGCAACGACCTCGCCAGCAGAAGATAAAGATGCATTGAGAGTCTTAGAAGAGAGTCGAATATTTTGCCCTGGCGGAGTCAATTTGGCGAGTCTTGAAAGTGCTTTGGATCTTAAAGCGGCTAGCCAAGATATCAATGTCCACAAAGACGCGGGGTGCACCTCACTGAGCTCCTGGCTGACAGCCTGTGGGATGACTGCCACCGGAACTGGCATCGGGGAAGCAGATCTCTGGAATAGTCTGTAGGAGACATAGGCGCCCACTAGCACACCTCCTATGAACACAGCCACCTTGAGCTTTTCGTAGAATACGTCTGGGTTAGGTTCTCCGGGGTTCGGTATTGGAAAGAATCGCTTTGGATCATTTGGTCCGTAGTGATACTTATCCATGATAAAGTAGTAGGGATCACGCCGAGTTAGTTCATCGGAGACTATAAACTTCTCGGCAGGGTTGACGACGACTTTATGAGATTTTGTCTTTAAAGAGACATAATCATATGAGGCTCGTTTTTTGGAGTCCATCAGGACGCGATACGCTTTGTTGATCCTCACGAACTGATCAGATCCATTGCCGTTTTTGTCGGGATGCCATTGCAGGGACAATTTGTGGAAAGCGTTTTTAATTAGACGATCGGTGGCGTTCGGCTGCAATCCCAACACGTGGTAGTGATCTTGGTTAACATCACTCATCCTGAACCTGAACTTAGGAATATCTCAAATAAGAATTAATAGGAATATTTATGCACACATTATTTTTATCTCTTGTACCGTATGTTCTCAGAATAGTGGGAAGTCCCAAATTAAAGTGATTGCCACCAATCGATAACAAGAGCTAATGTCGATTACAAAAATATATATATATCTTCTAACGTTTTAAATATTCACTGCGCAATATTTTTTTTTTTTTTTCATCGGAACTTTAATGCAGTTTTTGTGGCCGGCCGAAAAGAGTTGTCAATTTGGATATTTTGTATTCGGAGTTGGCTATTTGGCTAGTTGACCCATAAAAAGAATTTTGCAAAATAAACTTTTGCATAATGCCCTCTTCTCACACAGTGCATCTGTGGGAAACGGAGCACATCCGTCCCACACACACATTCGCTTAAAAGAGTTGTAGTGTAAAGGTTCAAGCGCCCATTCACACAGGCACCCGCTGATGCAAAAAACAGCTGATCGCAATTGCAAAATTTTGTCAATAAATTAATATCTCCCGAATTTCCCAATATACATGAGTGTTTTTCCGCCCTAATTGTAGGTCGCCCATATTTTTGTCTCGCAGGTTAAAGGCAAGTCAATACCTTTTCTTTTATATTATCGAATTGGCATTTGTTCGTTTAATTACATTCAATGTTCTTAAAACTGTTTACTAGACCAAAAGACATATCCATCTCCAAATAAATACTTTAAAAATAATGAATCCCCTCAGAATTACATCCTAATATAGGCAACAACGAGTTGTTTAGCTTTTTCGCCATCTCTTTCTAGCACAACGAGTTGTATAGCTTTTTCGCCATCTCTTTCTAGCACATGTAGCGCTTATGGAAGAAAAAGCCGCTGAAGCGGAATCTGGACGCTGTTGCAGAAAAACCGTCTGTGTGAATAGGATTTTAATGCACTCTTTTCACACAGTACATCTGTTAGACGCGGTTGGATTTTTGACCAATAACAGCTGATCTGAACAGCTGCTGCTTTTCAAAACATAAACAAATTCAATCATCTTTGTTTATTTTTTGTGGAGCCATAGCTGTTCAGATCAACTGTTATCGGAAGGTGGATGTGCTCAGCGGAATCACCAGAATCAAAAATCCCTACGGTTTTTCGGTTATGGTCTCCGTATGAAGAGCGTTGCACTGAACAAACATCGGCTAACTATCGCAAAAAATAGGCCCGTCAAACTCCGTTAAATTTTAAGGGCGGACTAACTGGGAAATTTTTCGAACGGCAAAACCTAATGAACCATCCCTTCAACGGATGGTGGACGGATCTCTGTGGAAATAGGCTATAATCTGACATCTCATGCCCAAAAATATTCTTGCTATCGATTAACTTACTATCGATGGACTGTTGCACAGCTTTTGCACATTTGATTTACTGCACAAACAATATAAAAAATAACAGGATCAACAATATTAAACAGTTTACAAATAAACCTCTACAAATTATTCTTAAGAGTATTACAGCGATGTTCCATTAAAAATTCTATCACTTAGTCCGCAGATACTTAGTATAAAGGTCCTGAAGTTAGTCCGAGGACGACCCATCGCTGTTGGCGGCCGGCTCCTTCTTCCGGGTGAAGAACTGAAAGGTCTTGTAGGCGGCAAATGCAAATAAGACCGTTCCGCCGACGGCACACATGAACGGCAGCATATCGGACGTGGGCTGGGCGAAGGTCGCCGGCTCGTCATCGCACCGCAGACCCTCCTCTCCGAACTGGTCGTAGATCTCCCGCTTCTCCTTGTCGGACAGGACCTCGAAGGCGGCCACCACCTCCTTGAACTGCTCCTCGGCCTGCGGATGGTCGTTCTTGTCCGGATGGTATCGGAGCGCCATCCGACGGTAACCCTTTTTGACCTCTTCGCTAGTCGCATTTCTCTCGATGCCCAGAATCTTGTAGTAATCCTTGCCCATTGTGGTGAAATGGGTTGCTCCTTTTCTCGGTTGAGATCTTTGATTGACAGGGCTCAGCCCAGCTTATTGGTGCCTCGGTACACAGAGCAAGACGGATGTATGATTTAGGAGATTCTATCCGCTGATTAAAAAGAATACAACAAATTATCACTAAGTATTCTCATCACAACTAATCGATACAATTTTGCCCGCCCCAGATGAGCGGTGGAGTGCTGCCGGACTTTGCGATGAACTGTTAATTAACAGAATAGCCGTTACAAACTTTAATTTTATAAGATAAGATTTTAATCAGCCTGTGCAAGTTTTCACTTCCGAAAAAATCTCACGGAAAATTCCCGACAGACATTCGGCTGCCGGATTCAGATCCACCAGCACAGAAAATAATTATTTTAAAAAGCTTTGCGATAGGTAAGCGTGTAAATTACATTTTTACCTTACTCTTTGATGTTTTATGAACAATACTGCATCATAAAATTAGTTTATAATAACAGTTGACTTTTAAAAAATTATTTTGCGGTTGCACATCAGAATTGGTTTGCATCTGCATAGACCTCGACATTTTAGCAATTCCGCTGCCCTTTATCTAGTTTCCGAAAGACTTTAAGGCAGGGCTGCAAGGGCTGTCATGGTACGAAAAAATACAATTATTTTCCTGGGTCTTATTTTTAGCACGCTTTTTTGAGTTCTTTTAAATATGGTAATCAAAGTTAAAGTTAAACGATTTTTTTTTGATTACCGCTTAATTTAATGTTGCTCTTGTGCAGTTGGCAACTCTGGTTCTCAACACTACTTGTGATCAGTTCACACCACTGAACACCAGAAGTTTTTAGCACTGGCTAAAAAATGGCACATAAAACTTAGAAAATTTGTATTTGTGCTAGTTAAACTAGTATCCCATTAATGTCATTAGCTGAGGGACACCAGCGGGCCAACATTTAATAAGCCCTGAGGCAGCCAAACTGTGACAAATCAAACGCCTTTGTTTCGGAACAAAAGAAACCTAATGAAGAATTTTTCTATGTTAATCCGAAAATGTTATCAAATTCACTTCCAAGTGAAAACCGGAACTGTCCTGTATAATTCATCTTTGATTATAATTTGCTTATAAATAATACAAATACTCATAATTGTACTTTCAACTCAAAGAAACCTTGTGAATTTTAATTTTAAATTTAGTCTGCGTATTCTATAAACGAATGAATCTGTGATTTTGCTGATTCCAACAAGAAATATATAAAAATAAAGAAGTTAAGACAGTCCACTGCTTGTTCCAAAAAACAATAATAAATGCTGTTTGATAAAAGAGCTGCTTGACAACTTAACTTGGACAATTTAGCCAAACAGTTTCTGTTGGATTTTCAGATTTTCAAAGTTTCAGTCGCTTGGGGAATACCCTTATTATGTTAACATTAGCAGTGCGCGCAGCAGCACAGTTTCCGAGCGCGCCTAACAGCACACTGTGTGCAACAGCACGCTGAGAGTTCAGAGTTTCCGCCGCCAACTTACCCTCTTTCCGTTCTGCGAGCGAAAACCGAAAAGTCTGTGCTTTGGTAAGTGCTATTAAAAATCCGAAATAATGCTGCATCCGAAATATATTCGGGCTGGAAACAACGGCATTGGTGCCCGCATGAGTCCGCTAATCGAAATGGTGTTTTTGCAGTTCTTAAATTCAACCGACGAGTCCCTAATACACTATCAAAATGGTTAGGGAGAACAAGGCAGCATGGAAGGCTCAGTACTTCATCAAGGTTGTGGTAAGTAACGCCCAGCACCCGCCCAAGGTCACGTCTATAATCCTTGTTAATTCGTTCTCCAGGAACTGTTCGATGAGTTCCCCAAGTGCTTCATCGTGGGCGCCGACAACGTGGGCTCCAAGCAGATGCAGAACATCCGTACCAGCCTGCGTGGACTGGCCGTCGTGCTGATGGGTAAGAACACCATGATGCGCAAGGCCATCCGCGGCCATCTGGAGAACAACCCGCAGCTGGAGAAGCTGCTGCCCCACATCAAGGGCAACGTGGGCTTTGTGTTCACCAAGGGCGATCTGGCCGAGGTGCGCGACAAGCTGCTGGAGTCCAAGGTGCGCGCCCCCGCCCGTCCCGGCGCCATTGCCCCGCTGCATGTCATCATCCCGGCCCAGAACACTGGCCTGGGACCCGAGAAGACCAGCTTCTTCCAGGCCCTGTCCATCCCGACCAAGATCTCCAAGGGAACAATTGAAATCATCAACGACGTGCCCATCCTGAAGCCCGGCGACAAGGTCGGCGCATCCGAGGCCACGCTGCTCAACATGCTGAACATCTCGCCCTTCTCGTACGGCCTGATTGTCAGCCAGGTGTACGACTCCGGCTCCATCTTCTCGCCCGAGATTCTGGACATCAAGCCCGAGGATCTGCGCGCCAAGTTCCAGCAGGGTGTGGCCAATCTGGCCGCCGTCTGTTTGTCCGTGGGCTACCCGACCATCGCCTCGGCCCCGCACAGCATTGCCAACGGATTCAAGAACCTGCTGGCCATTGCCGCCACCACCGAGGTGGAGTTCAAGGAGGCCACCACCATCAAGGAGTACATCAAGGATCCCAGCAAGTTTGCCGCCGCCGCTTCGGCCTCGGCTGCCCCCGCCGCTGGCGGTGCTGCCGACAAGAAGGAGGAGGCCAAGAAGGTCGAGTCCGAGTCCGAGGAGGAGGACGATGACATGGGTTTCGGCCTGTTCGACTAGACTGGATGCAGGATGCCCAGCTGCGGCGCCCACGGGCCAACGCTTCTGCTTTCGACGTTTACCCACTAAGACCATCGATTATGTTTTCTATGTGCTGCAAATCATTGCCGCGGTTTGACGGACCCAATGGCAAGTTGCATTAAACATGCGGTAAACAGCGCGAAAGCCCACGCAAATGTGTTTTGATTTCGTATAGATCGGGAAAACCTTACGGTTTGAAACAATATATGTATTCCCCTTTAAACGGCCTGCAACTGCTGTCGACCCTCTGGATATTTACAAAGTAATTACTTGCGATAAAACGAATTTCACAAGATGAGAAAAGTTTAAAGTTTGTGCTGCCCCGTCGTCGGCGACTTTTGCGATTTCTTTTGCTTTTCGCAAAAGACGCGCTGGCGACGCTCATAAAAATTCAATTTGTCTTGACAAAATACGCAAGAAATTAAGAATGTGCCAAGTGGCGGCAAAAGAAACTTTCTTTTCTTTCCCTTTTCCCTCATTTTCCTGCTGCACATTGCTTGCTCGTTCGTCTGGCGAGCGAAAATGAGTTACGCGACTGGGGCGTGAAGCTGCCACGCCCTCGCGGCAATGTGTCGCCCACTAAAAGTGAAGGGCGGCATGGGCGGCAAAGCGGAAATGGAAGCTGGCGGAGCAGGAGCCGCGGGCCAAGTTAAACACTGCATAAATAGCCGGGACCAAAATGAAAGGGCCTGACGAAAATAAATCCTTCGCAGGCCTCTGCGGACCGCAGTGATGGCACCGTGAGCTTTGAAAATTGGATGGGAATATATGTATTATTGAATCTGAATTCACTTTGTGTATTTTGATTTTCACCAGTTAGAAATTTGATTTATTGCATACTATACAATGTACTAGAAGTTTGGCCTATCGAGTTCTTAGAATTGTTTTATATATATTAATTTACAAGAGTGCCAGTGTAAACTCAATGTATATATTTATAAAGCTTGAAACGATGTGATATATAAGGTACATATGAATGTACGTTTTTATACCCGTTTCTTGTAGATTGCTATTTATAAAGTATGAAATCGCGCCCGACTCTATATATTTTTGAGTAGGATCAATGTACCAGCCGATCTAGCCATGTCCGTCTGTCTGTCCGTATAAACATTGAGATCTCGTAACTTTAAAATCCAGAAATTAGGGACTTATGGTTGCGCAGTCTGAAAGTATCTGATGTCACTTTAGTCTTAATATACTGGGCCCGAGTTTTAACCAAAAATTCGTTTTTTTTTTTAGAAAAAAAATTCATTGCATGTTTTTTTATCATATTTAAAACAATTAAATTTCATGAAATTTTGAATACAAAGTCCAAAATTCTGGTAAAAAGAGACGAAGACGTAGATGATCGAAATGCTTGTAAGGCCCTCGAAATTTATAAACATACCAAGTGGAAAATTTAATTTAGCTTAATTTCTTATTTATTTTATAATAATTGAGAAGAACTTTAAAGAATAAGTAATTTTTCGCATATGGATACTTTGCTTTACGAGTACTTTCGAATCCCCTTTTCTTTAAAAAAAAGTGTTTTTGCTTTAGTTTTCGAGAATTCGAGAACTATTAAGTTTGAACTTAATTTGAGGGAGAGGCAGATCTAGAAGTCTAATGGAGGCCAAACATATGGTGCATCCATTATAACTTCTCATACGAGAACTAATAGACATGTAGAAAACATATAACAATGCATATCCTTCTGGGAATCGTCATAAAGTATTTTAAAATTAAACAAGAAAGGAAGCAGACTTCGACAAGCCTAATTTATATATCCTAGCAGCTATTGCAAAAATGAAATGTTCCTTAAAACATCAGCATTTCAATTTATATCCTTGTATTTTTAAAAACTTTGAATCTATGAGAATTTTCAGCTAAATAAGTCGATTGTTTCTATGTCACCTATATTCCGATTGTTTTTATTTAAAGACATAAAAAAATAGAATATTTTCGTACGATCTGACTTGTTCTCCCGTATATACTATATGCAACTGAATAAATTTTTTTGGCAAATTTGCAGATAGCAAACTGAGAGGCTAGACGAAAAGAGTAAAAATGTTCTTGATTTACGAACAACCCGATGCCTGTTTTTCCTTTTAATTTGTAAACGTTCGTTCTCCAAAATCGATCGAAATCGTAAACACATACCTTTTCGTTCATAAAAGTTCGCTCGCCTGCTTTCGCTCGCATTTTTCAACAGTTTGCTCACAGAAATCGAACGTCATTCTAAAAAACCACCTTCAAAAAATCAAAAATCGTTCTAAAATGTTAAGCCTCATCCACAATCAATTTATTTTTTTTTTTTTGTAAATTCTGTAACTCTATTTTTTTTTAAGTTGCCTTCAAACATTTAACTTTAATTCTTATACGAGTATAGTACATAGTTGAATGTGGTATCAGAATGGCACACATACTTTTTGACCCCGATCGAGGTTGATTTTTTTTTACCGTTTTAACCGTTTTGTTTAACAAATATCTAAATTCTCTTCTGGAGCTCCAACAGTGGCACAGTTTTAAGCTTTATAGCTATGTCTTCAACAAAACAAAGATCTTCAAAAGGAAAGCTCGTCTTAAACCTATAATTCCGCAATAATTTGGCCAGTGTAACTTTAGTCGATATCAAGGCATATCTCCAGCCTGAAATTAAAAAATAAACATGATTTAAACAACTTCCTAATTTAGAGTATACCCATAGCTTTGTTACCTATGCAATTTCGGATACCCTTCGTGAAGGGTATGAAGGCGTAAGGGTGTTTTTCTTGAATATTGTGGGGTAAGAAATGATCCGGATTGAAGGTTTCTGCTTCTGGGCCCCAGATTTCTTTGCTCCGGTGTATGTGGTAAATGTCTATGGCGATCTGAACTCCCCGAGGGATCACTACCCCGTTGGATAGTTTTAGGTCCTGCGACGTTTGTCGCGATACAACTGGAACTGGGGGTATAACTCTCATTGATTCGTTGAGTATCATATCCAGGTACACCATCTGCTGGGTGTCAGCATAGGTCACCTCAAAGTCTCCGGTGTTGGGAAACAGGATTTTTATCTCCTCGAATGCCCTCTCCTGACAATTGGGAAACATGGCTAGCAACATCAATGCATAGTATAAGGCATTTGAAGTGGTCTCAAAAGCTCCAAAGACAATGCTATTCGACTCATCCTCGACATTTTTCAAGTTGAACACTCCACGTCTCAGGCAATCCGCGGCCAGGCTAAGAAATATATTCTTATCGATTGTTTCTTTTTGGTTTTCGGATAAATGTTTTTCAATGAGCTGAAAGTAGTCTTACGTAGTCTTTTATTAGTCATTTTATTAAGCATTTCATTGTCACCTTCTTGGTAAACTGGCGAACTTCCTTCTTGGCCTGAAAGTAGTGGGATTCCCTCCCAAGCAGCTGGCGAACAAATCGACTGTTTAGCCATGGCGAAAAGCACATGTCTGTCATGTTTTCCAAAATACTATTAATGGATAGAATCGGTCCGAATCCAGCTCAACACTTACCATTGGTATTGGTCCAGCAGGGATTTGCTCATTAAGTTCTCCTGGCTCTTAACGTCACTGCCCATGGTAGTTTCTTTAAATAAAAAATTTTAAAAGTTTTATAATATATTAATTCCTGTTTAATGTTGTTCAAACATAACTAAGAATAATAAAGAGTTATGTATTTTTGTTTTGTGTATTGATAGTTCCTACAGATACACTCTACTAGACTAGTTCTAGTTAACACAATCACTTAAAATTTCTATACTCACGGGTTGCTATGCCCAGAGTGAAGCTCTGCAGCACTGGAACAAGATCCTTCTCTCCATCGTCCTGCAATGTTTTCAGTTCATCCAGCAGAAGAGCTGTTTCTCGATTGAAGATGGGCAGAAAGCTAAGTAAAACCTTGTGACCAAAGGCGGGATTCAATAGCTTTCGATGGAGGCTCCAACGGGGATCTACAAAATACAAAATACCTAAGTAACGTTGTATTCTCAATTCCGAAGACACACCATGCATGCTGAACAGTCCAATGCCCACGCCATCGTCCACAGCCTTATAAATAATACCCTTGTTGACGCAGTGGGGCGATGTGAAGATCTCCTGCACCACCTGGGGATCACTGACAAGCAAGAAGGGAATTGGCCCGAGCCACGAGAATATTATCGAACCGTACTCGTCCTGAAGGCGTCCGAAACCATTGAGGATATCTGCTCACAGGGACCAAAAATTATACAAATTTTAGCTGAATAATACAGGAAATCTTCCAAGACCTTCTTTGTTCATCAGCATGTGGGCCATGCCCAGAAGGGGATATCCAAGTGGCCCCGGGAGCTTGCGCGTGAGCAGGTAAAACCTGCGCCGGCTCCACAGAAAGTAGAGGCACAGCAGGAACAGAGATCCACACCAGAGGGTCCAGGTGAGCATGGTTCGGTAATCCTTATCCACTTGTGCAGCTCGAAATTTAATCCGTTTCCTAGCAGTATTCAACCAATCGGTTTGAAGTGCGCCTACAGTTTGAGTTCCCAGTTAAGAAAAAACCCATTTAAAGCCCTTGCAAATCAGCCCATTATCTAGACTGGGTACAATTAAATCATTGGTACAATTAAATCATTGATAAATTTGATGCAAATAAGTGAAAAACCAGTTAAGTCAATTATCTAGGTACAAATAAATGTATTCAGCTCAGATCTCCCCGCTAAATCAAAGCCTTGCTCAAAGCGAGCAATGCTCCCTTATTATTTGGCCGAGAGAGAATTATTATTATTATACACTTAGTACTTAGTACTGGAACCCATTGAAGGTCAGCTGGTATTTTAAAATATATTAACCTTATACATTATTCGTTGCGACTGTTCGACTAGTTGACATTCTTTTTTTTTATAAATTGATATGGTATACTTCTTTTTTTTAAATAAATAAATTTAAAGAAATTTATTAATTATCAACTAGGGTGTCTGGATTAGTAAAAAGAAAGTTTGAAAAGTTTATATTGAAAATTGGGTTAAAAAGACTTAGGTAAAAATAACTATTAACAAAATTGCTAAAATAATTTTTTTTGCCAAATATTTAAAAAGATACTAATGAAAATATATTTTAACAATTTTAAAAATAATTAATATTTTGGTAGGAGTAAACCAGAAAGGAATATTTTTAATTTAAAAGAACTAACTTAGTTGCTAAAGCAGACTAAACCATAAAGCCTTAATATAGTTTGCGTGTGATAAATCTATGTATAAACATTGGACATTAGACCCTTTTAAGGAAATTATATATATATTATCCCTAATATATGTTGTAACGGGGAAGTTTCAAATTCAAATATAAGCGACTTCATAAAAAAAATAATTTAACTACACAATTAAGTGATTATTTCGGCCAGATTAATAATTCATAAATTATTCTTTGTTATTATTCCACGTGACACGTTTCCATCGCTTTGTTCGGAATGTCTGGTTTGGGATAAATTAATAAAGACATTGCATAATTTCAGGCGCCGCTGGTGGCAAATATACACAGGAATTAGCATAAACTGTGGGGCGGCTGACCCATCGTCCGCCCCATTCGCCTCCCATCCCTCTCATAAGCCTCCCAACCACCACTAACCATCACCCACCACCCACCACCCACCGCTTGCCACTCAATCAGCAGCAAGCGACATTTGAAATCAAAATGCGATTGGCAAAATGATTTGCTTCAATTTTTGTGATGCGCATAACAAATGAAGTTTGGACATTTGGACATTTGGACAATTGATTGGGACAGCAGCCATGTGTTGTGGAGCGGGGAGCGGGGAACCGGAAGGAGTGGCTCGAGACCCATATAGACAATGTACGATATACCACACATCACATCACATCACACACTCCATCGCAATGTTTGCCATGCACAACAAAATGTGGAGCAGTCGACAGATTCGGAATCAGATTCAGATCCGAGTTCAGGACTTCAGTTCAAGTGCCAAACCCCTCCGCCTTCCGGGAATCCCCTGAAACTGGACTCGATTTTGGCTATCCAATGCGCACAGATAGATTTGTATGCATATTTTTGCTCGGCATTTCGTTTGTGTGCTAAACATGTGAATGCCATCGATATAACGATGCTGCTCCTGTTATGCATGTTCCCTCGGCATCCTACTCCACATCCATGTGTGCTCAGCTGTGATTTGTTTGGCCAAAAGATTTGGAGCAAAACGGTTTAATTCCTGCGGAATGGCTTAAACGATTCCTGCCGGCGAGTTCTTCGAGCGAACTGTGAACTGGAAATGGAAATGGAATTTCGAAACGAACTCCACACCAACAAACTTTCCATGGTTTCACTCACGCAATATTGTACGAGTAAGTTACTCGGTTCTAAAGGTTAAACTATTTTATTCATTGCATTTCTGTAATATATTGAGCGAAGGTAAACTTTATAACTAGTAAACACAAAGTTAGAATGCACACCTTTTAGTTTAATTCAAATCTAAACAAAAGAGAACAGTAACTCAGGTTTTACATGTCTCAGGGTAACCTGATATACTTTTCCGATTTTTGAAATAAATTTGCGCTCCGTAAGAATTACATTAACCTGCACGTCAAATCCCAATTCTCTAGTTTTTATAGTTTTCGAGATCTCGACGTTCATACAGACGGACAGACCGCCTTGATCCTGATCAAGAATATATATTCTTTATTGGGTCGAAAACGCTTCCATCTACCTTTACTTTACGAGTAACGAGTATAATTATAACTTAGCTGTATTTTAATTTTTTATTAATTTTCCTTAAAATCTAATAATAGGGTTAATATTTCAGATGTACGGTTTTAGTTTAGCTCCCACGGGAACAATAGAAATATTTTTTGAATTTCAATAGTGTATAGTTTAATCACAATATATGGAAACATTTTAAATTCACTATTTCTTTTAATACAAAGTAGTGGTTTGTTATTTTGGTATTACAAGTGTATTTTATTAAAATCTGACACCAATTTCAAATAGCTGCCATAGGAAAATGCCCATTCATCTCACGGCGATAGAAAATGCCTGTGCAGGCAAACTTTATTAAGTCGAATTTTTATTAATTTTTCGTCAACAAATTTGTTTTTAGTAATTTAGTATGTTCGTCCAAAAATGTAGTATTCTGTAAAACAAAAATATTTAAATTTTTATGCCAGTATGTTTAAGAACAGTAAATTTATGATGATTTTCTGCAAAATTATTTAATTGTTTCTTTGACAGCTTTTTATCATCGTTGTCCGATTTGAATAAAATGAAAATCGTAATTCTAAAATAATAAACCATTACAATGTATCGACGTATTATCAAATCAACTAAAAAATAGCGAAGTTATAATGTTTATGCTTTTGCTAAAGATATTATAATTTCAGTCAGAAGTTTGCAACGCAGTGACGGCGACATATCCGACCATATACAGTTTATATATTCTTGATCAGCATCACTAGAAGAGTCGATTCAGCCATGTCTGTCTGCTCGTCCGAATCGGACGACTATATCATACAGGTTCCTATGGGAAAAAAAATTATAAAAACGTATTTAATTTCTTTGTTAGTTCTTTGTGATGGTTTATTATTTTAGAAATACGCTTTAAATTTGATAAAAATCTATAATTTTTGGTTTTTTTATTCATTATTTTGGATATAGAAATGGTTTAGTAATTCAGAATTACGCTAATAATTTAATTCAAATAGGAAAACATCATAAAGCTGGTATAGAATCGATCAAATAATTATTCATTATAGCTTCAATGTTTTTAATCATATACTCAAACAATTCGAAGTTTTGATGCTTTAAGGGATATTAAATGAATGCAATAGCTGCAAGGGTATATAAGCTTCGGCTTACCAAAGTTAGCTTCCTTTTTTGTTTTTTAAGCCATTTTAAAACGAAACTTTTTCGTGGTCCCTTCGTCAGTACATGTACTGCCGTCCATAGTGATTAAGATCGGACAACGAAATCATATAGTTGCGTTAGGAAGGATCGAAAAATCAGCTTAGCTTCACTGTTTTCATTCGTTTTAGATTAGTAAACAAGTAAATAAACTTCGTCTGGCCGAAATAAGCTTATTTTCTTGTTTTTGTAACTAAGTGCGGCTAAAAAAGAAAAAATGTTATCGAGTACTGTGAACATTAAAGGGTAAAGTAACCCCCGCAAGTGGGAGAAACTTTGGTTAGCATCAGCCGGCTGGATTTGAAATGATAACTGAAACAGAAATCTATTTTCCAACTGACTGACGTGCAATACAAAACATTTTCCGAGAGGTCGAGCGGGGCACAGGCGACATGAAAGGGGAAACCGAAAAAAAACGAAATAATGGAAATCTGAAAGCTTTCACGGGATTGTTCAGAGCGGGTTGCAGGGGCGGCACCCTGCCACGCCCCCACACCCCCACTCCAGACGGTACAACATGCTCAATTTAGTCTCGTCACATCAAAATGTTTGCTCTTCGCGCTGTTTGCTGAGGCTGTTGTTGTTATTGTTGTTGTTGTTGTTGTGGTCGGGGGAATAATTCAGGAGGTGGACGCCTTTTGGGCGCTTACCGCGTATAATTTATCTATGCATATGTTTTGAGTTGCCAACAGCAGCACAAGTTCTCGCTGAGGTAGCCCGAATCGGAGCCCTGCCCCACATAAATCACAGTCAACAGCACGCATTCGCAGGCTACCGATGAGCCACCCACTCGACCACCCACTCCCACACCCCTTTCGTGTCGGATTAACTTTTGGCCTATTTGAGGGAAAATCGGAGACTGCACGGTATTTCCGCCATTAGTTTCAGTCCTCCATTCTTTCCGCTCGATCTTAGCGATCCGTTGGCAGGCTATTTAAAGAGCTGCTCCAGGCGCGTTGGTAACTATTCGCAATCACGATGAAACTCCTTCAAATCGCTTTGGTCCTGCTCATCTCGTCGGCTCTAGCCATGGCGCAGAATCCTACGAATCTAAATGAAAACAGAATCACCATTGGAAAGGTTTAAAATAATTTAATTGAATAAAGTAAACTTAAAAAAATTTATTTAAAATATGTTTTTCAAAACGTATTCACTGTTGCTGTTTTTCTATAAATAATTTCATTTGTAGATATAGTTTTTAAACGCTTTCAAGAAATCTCTTCAAGAAAGATTCGGCTGTCGAACACTCGTTTTAAGAAGACTTAAAGGCTCCGTGGGGCAGTGGTAACGTTTGTGTTAACGGTTAACAATAAACGACAAAAACCCGTTACGACGAGCGATGATTGCAAGGCAAACGAGCAATTAAAAAGTCGTGTGTCAGGGGACCTGCCACCCAAAACAACCCCCCTTCAACCCCCTCTTTTCCGCCCTTTGCCACGTACGAGGCATAACCTTTTGGCCTTCTTCTTGGCACAGCTGTCACTGTGCGTGTGTGTGCGAGTATCCTTCAAATCCGGCATCCTTCGGCTGCCTTTGTTCCTTGGAGGCATTTTTACGGCCCTCCGTTTTTACGCTGGAAGCGGGAATTTTCACGTTGGGTATTTGAAATATGCACGTAATATTGCAAAATTTTAAGCGTATA